GTCCTTCACTGCCTCCCTGAGTTTGCTCAGTTTCATGCTCATTGCTTCAGTGATGCTATCTAACCATCTCATCCTCTGCCGTCCTCTTCTCCTTTTGCCTAATCAAATGGACCTCAGCAATGCATTTAATGGGAGCCTGGAGAAAAATGGCTCTAAAGAAAAGATACATGCTGAGAAGGAACAAGGTTGCTGAATATAGAAGAATAAAACAAATGTTGAACAAGTTGAATATATTTTTTCCAGCAATCTATTCATGGTGGTCAATGATTAGTTTCAAAGCAATATAATAAATCAGAGAACCTTTAGAAAAACCCAACCAACATTTGATACCTGCAGCAGATATGCACTGTAGTAGGCATATGTGAGTGAGATTGTACCGTAATTACACTCTCATTGCTGACAGCTAGTCCTGCCCTTTTCATTCATACGTATAGTGTAAACATATGAAACTTCATTCCTTATAGACACCCGTATGGGCAAATGCCAGATTGTGACTAAGCAGCATGCAAGTCATTTGGGGCAGGGCTAATCAGTGTAATTTAAACAGAAGTGCAATGCAGGAGCAATCTTCAGACAGATGTATTCCCATTTCTTTCATTTTTGATGGTTTTCATTGCCCACTTTTCCTCCCAGGCTGAATTCTTTTTTCCATACCACTTTTTAAAGTACATTCAATCTCTTAGTCCTTGCCTTCATTTCTTTTTATCATTCCCTTGCCTTTCTTGTTTATGTCTTGCTCTAGGTTAGCATAGAAAAAGCTAACCACATCATACAGAAATGGACAAATCCTTTTGTTTTCCTCATCTACGATTCCTAATGGATCTATTTATCTGGAAACATCTTTCCATCTGTTTTGCAACCCCCATATATTTAAAGACTAAATGGATAGCAAACATTGTTTTGGATCACCCTATTTCCACCTTATCTCTTCAAGCTCCCTGTTATTATCTAACTTCATTTCTAGTCTTCCTTTATATCTTCCTTACCTCTCCCCCAACATGGTCTTATCTTTCTGTTGTAGATGGTGGTCCCTCCTGATAAGTTATGGGCCATTTATAGTCTCTCTACAGGCTTCCACACAAAATTGTGTCATGCATAAAATTCTGTAGGAATGTGGGTTATAAATTATAGTAATAAAAGAATACATAAATTTTACTAACAGTAATGGTAGCAATTTTAAATTAAATTGAAAGAGCACTTTTTGTTCCCTCCCATTTCCTCTGAGGGCCAAACTAAACTTCTTGTTTAGGGTACTATTAGGAGGTGCATTTGGGTTTTTTTTCTTTTCTTTTTATGTTTTCATGCTGAGCTTCCCAATCATGGTCCCATTGGCACCAATGGGAGGTGTTTTTATCAACTTTGTGGCAGGGGAGGGAAGATTAAAGTATCCCCCCACCCACACTATAAATAAATAAAAACAGTCATAGTTCTGAATAATGCATTCATCTCATGTATTAATATATCACTGGCAGTTTTACCTTGATGATATATCTTTAATATATTGTAGGATATAAATCTGTTGAGAATAGTTCTACTATGTATCTGATTAAGAGGAATGGAAGTATTTTCTTTAGTTTTATCAAGTTTTTGTATGCAATGATCTGATGGTGTCTATGGGAAACTGGAACAGTTTTCCAGTGGGTTTTCTCCCACCACCTAGGATGCTTCCAAGATTAATTCAACACTTATTCATGTTTTCCCTTAAATATAAATCAACTTTTATATTCTAGGAAAATGCCACAGTCCTTCAAGGACAAACTGTCATCCTCAAGGCCATTCTCACAAAGCCCTCATTCTTCCTCAACACAACCCCCCTTTCCTTCACTTACCTAGAAAATTGTAGCAGATGTAGAAGCAGAAGGTTTGGGAAATTGGGAGAAGAAGGAAAATGATTTATTCTTTCCATCATTCTTCATGACAACCTCGCTAATAGTGCACCAGGATCCAAGGCATAAGGCTTTTGGAGGATAAGGAGAGACCAAGTAAGAACTGATCTCTCTTATGACTCCCTGAGCTCTGTTGTTATCCAGGGCTAATGTAAATATAAAAAGGGCAGGGAAGTTATTCTGCAGCTGCTGTTCCTATTGCCACGTAGGTGACAGGAAGGAAAGAATTGTGTTTCGTGACCAGAAGGGAGGAATTTTGAGGATGAATATGGGAGAAAGCCAGAAATTGCACTCCAGGTTTGATTTTGACCCAAAGCGAATTTGAGGCAGGTCTCTCTGTATCCCAGAAAATGGTTTTTAAACACAGCTCTAAAGAACTCTGATAGTTTTCTTAAAATCCAGCAATTATTGTGATGGTTACAAAGGCTTAGACAGAGGACAGAGTCACCGAGCAACACAAAAAACAAACAGTCCCTTTGATCTTGGCTAAACGACCAATGATGAGACAATGGAGGCAGGGGTCAGCAGCAGGTAATATCATGGAGGTGCAGCATTTGGTCCAAAATACTAAAAACTTGGTGGGTGGGATTAACATCAAAGCTCACTTTAAAGTTCCAAGTAGTTTGGCAACTATACAAACCTTCACCAAGTTGTTTCCATTCATCCCTAGACTCCACCATTGCCTCACATCATCAGCCATGTAATTTGGGGTGGGTGAGTCATTTTCCTTTGGCTTCTACTCAATAAGTGCAACCCCCTATCTGCAATACTCCCTCACCAGCTTTTTCTGTAATCAATCAAAAAATGTAAAGATCTACACATTCTGAGTATAAAACTACATCAATCTTCTACCGTACTTCCTTTTTTAATATTTGACAACACACATTTACTGCGGCATAGCATCGTGGAAGGTTTCCTGTGTTTCTTTCTCTTGTTCTCTCTCATTACAGTATAAGAGGCTGAAAAAGGGGAGGAGGGGGAACCCTCTGTTGACACAAACTAATTGGTGTACTGAAAATTTGTTGTACCTCTGTCTGTGACAGAAGACAACATTTTACATTTCTGAGAGAATGAAATAAAACCAAGCCTTAGAAAGAACCTAGAAATAATTCATTGTAAATAGTATTTATTTCATCTTTATTACCCTGGAGACTATTTATGGCTAAAGCAAAAGAAGTATTATGCTTGGAACCAACTTTAATCTGATATGTAGAAATACGGGAGGCCACAAGTCAAACAAATTAATTACCAATCCATCTCCCCAAATATTGCAAAATTCAACTTGACAACTCATTCTTACAAGCAGTTCACAAGCACCAAGACAGGCCCTGTCATTAGACAAAGTGAAGCAGCTGGTAGATTTTGGATACCATAAAAGGGTAGGAAACAGTTATTGAATTGTATTTTTAGTACCAGGAAACTATTTGTTTCCTTTATCATAAGTCAAAACCATCTGGCTTGTTTGGTTACTATGAATTCAAAATATATTTGTCTGGCATGACATGTAGAGACCAATTTTTTGGAAAAGGTGAGAAAGTCCTAATTCCTTGTACGGCCTTGACGTGGCTAGGCTTAGGACTTGTTTCCAACTGGCATAACTGTTGATATTAGTATATTTACATTTGTGTTTTTCCTATAACAAATTAAGAAAGTAGTTGTGTAACAGTGAGTAGAAAAGAAATCAAAAATATCACGATTCCTGTGGAAATGGAGAAAAA